AGATGAAGTTGTTGGTAAAATTTCCAGCAAACTATGTTTCCACTTCATATAGTCATCCCCTGTTTTCACATCATATCCAATCTTCTCACTCAACAATAAGCAACATATCATCTCACTAGCAACACCACACAATTTACATGCAAAGAAACTAATAAACAACATGAGATATCAAACCTTGACGTCAAAAGCTTGACCTGGACGTCAAAACTTGAAAACTTCTGTTTCAGCTTCTCTTTTCTGCAACCTTTGAAACTTTCTTGCTCCTATACAGACACAAGAATTCTCAATAACTCATGCTCCCAATATAAACTAAAGAAATAGGATAATAACATCACAACTTCAAGAATTCTACTTTAACTTGAAGTTGACTAATGCTTAACTATGTTACAATTGAAAGAAATATGGGCGGACCAGAGTTAAGAAAGAGAAGGAGAAAGAGGGAAAATGGGGAAAGTGAAAGTGATAGAGAACGGGTAGTCCTCTAGATGAAATGACTTGGCGTGTGTAAACTCCTCTATTGGAAACCTACCTCAAGTGTACAAAGGTACAACTTAATACCAAAGCTGTAATATTTAATGCAACAAGTCGCTAACCCTTTATTTTGCAAATTAAGTCAACCTTTATTTGCAAATAAGTCCACTTCTAATCTCTTTCTACCCCAACCAGGTTTGGTTCAACCCAACTCAACTCAACTCACTAGGATGTTACACAATCAGCCTGTACTCACCGTTTCACTAAACCAGCAGGACCCCGCCATTAACTCAATGCAAACTGTTTCACGAAGTGAAACTCCCACTGAACCAACCTCTCCTTCATCTGCTCAACACGCAATTGCAGTACCAGAAGCAGTCTCTCTTCCACTGCCGCTGCCTTCATCTTCTGTTATTGCCACCACCCAATAACCCACAAAAGAGCATCCAATGGTGACACGACAGCAAACTGGAAAACTAAAGCCCAAAATTCCGTGGTCTCCGCAGTCTCATAATGCTGCCATTTCAACTTTGGTTCTTACTTGTTATACACAGGCTATTAAATGCTCCCATTGGCGAGATCCTATGATTCAGGAATTAAATGCATTATTACAAATTGGTACGTGGGAATTGGTTCCTCGTAGTATTGCACAGAATGTTGTGGGTTGCAAGTGGGTCTTTCGAATCAAACAAAAAGCTGATGGTAGTATTGATCGTCATAAAGCTTGGCTAGTCGCAAAGGAGTTTCATCAACGCCCCGGTGTTGATTATTTTGAGACTTTTTCACCAGTTGTTAAACCAACTACCATCCGAGTAATTTGTCTCTAGCTGTCTCTAAAAATTGGTTGGTCAAACAATTAGATGTTCCAATGCATTTTTGCATGGTGACTTGGAGGACGAAGTATTTATGGAACAACCACCAGGGTTCCAAGACAAAATGAAGCCAGACCATGTATGTTGCCTTCGACATTCTCTTTATGGTTTGCTCCAAGCACCACGTCAATGGTACAAGAAATTACATTCTGCATTGATTCTTCATGGTTTTCGTGTTTCACCTGCAGACTCATCCTTGTTTCACTATGCTAAAAACAATGTCATACTTTTTGCATTAGTGTACATTGATGATATAATATTAACAGGCACTAGTCTCAGTGAGATGCAGCGAATAATGGCCTCTTTACAGTCGGAATTTATGCTTAAAGATCTTGGGCGGTTAGATTATTTTCTGGGCATGGAGGCACATTGGTTGCCTGAAGGCCTACTTCTCACACAGCAAAAATATATACTGGATTTGTTGCAAAAGGCTAGAATGGAAAATTGCAAAGGTATTGCTACACCGGCTGTCACAAGAGATAAAATGTCATCGATTGGAAGTTCCTTGTTCTTAGATCCTACGTTATATCGTAGTACTGTGGATGGTCTGCAGTATCTCAGTTTAACTAGACTAGAAGTCTGTTTCTCTGTTCATAAAGCTTCTCAGTTTCTTCAGGCTCCTACCGATGATAATTGGAGTTCAGTCAAGCGCATCTTAAGGTACTTGAAAGAGACAGTACATTACGGACTTCTCATTCGAAAATCCACTCATACTGATTTTGATAATTGGAGTTCAGTCAAGCGCATCTTAAGGTACTTGAAAGAGACAGTACATTACGGACTTCTCATTCGAAAATCCACTCATACTGATTTGAATGTGTATACTGATGCTGATTGGTTAAGCAGTCTTGATGATCGAAAATCCACCACAGGTTATGCAATTTTTGTGGGTCAAAATCTTATATCTTGGAATTCCAAAAAGCAACAGACTGTTGCTCGCTCTTCCACTGAAGTGGAGTATAGAGCCATTGGATTAGCTGCCACTGAATTAACATGGATCCAAGCACTTTTACGTGATATTGGCTTTCATTCTGTTAATATACCTAATCTATGGTGTGACAATATTGGTGTTACGTATTTGTCAGTAAATCAAGTTTTTCATGCGCGCACAAAGCATTTCGAGGTTGATTTTCATTTTGTCCGTGACAAAGTACAAAAGAAGGAGCTTCAGGTCAAGTTCATTTGTTCCAATGATCAACTCACTGATATCTTAACAAAACCGCTTTCCAAAGCACGACATCGAGCTCTAATGTTTCATTTGACAATTTGATCATTCTTCAAGAATGCTCGAATTGAGGAGACGTGATAAGGATACCAGCTGTATATTTTATATTGTTGTAATTAACCGTATCCTAAGATAAGTTTGTATAACTACAAACTCTTGTAAATAAATATAGCACCGAAACACAGAAATAATACAAGTTGAATTCCAAAAGTTATTAAACAGCTTTAGAAAACACTTGTGAGGAGTACGTGACATCTTAGACCAATTTCACATTGGTTAAGCACAAGGTAAAAGCATGAGAAAAAGCAAGCCTTACATTGGCAAGTCATATTTTGGGCTACGAGATGATTCTAGTTCGGGAATAAATCTGTGTAGGCTGAGCTCAAAGTAGACAATATATCTTGCCAAAGCAAATATATTTAATTTAATATAGTGGTGGATCTATTAATGAAGAAAAAAAAGTAAAAAAGAAAGAAAGAAAAGGAAGCATAAACAAAACATGCTTACAATTTTTTTTAATTAGTTAGAAAAGGGTTAATAATTTGTTTCTTAGTTATTATCATTAGGGATAAGGTGAAAGTAATTATGTAAATGCAATTTATTTTTAAATTTTTTTAGAAGAAGGTTTAACAATTATTAAAATGACCTTGTTAAGCACAACTTGTTTTGGATCAAACGAGTTTTTTTTTTTTTTTTTTTGAGGTTTAATTTAACTTTTTTTCCTACTTTATGTACATAAATAAAAATAAGACAACAGAGGTGCCTCCAGGGCTGAGTGAAGAAGGCATAAAACAAATTATCTAAGGAACACAAACCGCCTCTTTATAACCAAGTCATATACTTACCTTCAGAAGACTGAAAAGATTATAATTTTCCAACACTTAAATCAATTTGAACTAATTTTTATTATATAACCAAAACAAATTGAATCTAATTGAATTAATTTTCAGTTTGATTTAATTCAGTTCGGTATTATATATTGACTTATTTTTAAGCTTAATTTAGCTGGATTTTTAGTTTTATGAAAATTGAATTGAACTAAAAAAATTGATCTTTTTTTTTTTTTTTTTTTTTTTTTTTACTAAAAATTTTTTTTTTTTTTTTTTTTTTTTTTTGTTAAATGGAATGCAAACTATAGTATTACTTGTTAGCTTAACTATTCACCATACTGAAGAAAAATTCCAATTGCAAATCATAGCGATGGAACTGAGCTTCTAATATTCAAGGGTGAAAATAAATTGAAGAGTCAAAGGTTTTACAAAATTACTATTTCATCTCTGTTGTTTGGAGAAACTATTGCGAGGTCCCTAAGTTTTGGTTTTGTTAAACTATTCACCCCTTCCATCAGTGCTATTTTTGTTGTTAAATATCCTATTTTGGTCATACCACAGTAATATTTAACATACCAATCATCAGGAACTTCACAGTAATTTTTCAAACACAAAATTTCAGTTAAATCTTTATGGACTTTATAGTAATTTATGCTAATTTTAAAAATTTATGCTAATTTTAAAAATTCTTGGGGAGGAGGGGTAAAAGTAAATAATTGATTTAATTTAAATATAAAATAAGAGAATTTCAAAAATATTATTGGAGGGAGATTACCACCTACTCTAGGCATCTCCCATTGCTCATCAGGATCTCATCTAGTCTTACTTTCATCAATGCAAATTTCTTGCCCCCATATTTTTGTTATGGAAATTTTGGTCCCATTACAATTATTAGATAAATTTGTTGTATGATTGTGAAACTTATATGTTGGAGATATCAAATACAAAATAGATTTTTTTTTTTTAATTATTCTCTTTTGGAGGTTTAATTAGTGTGGGCTACAAAATAAGAGGCAGTTCATTTTTAATTCATAATGATTTCTAATCCATTAATTTATAGTCCATTTGAGATTGATTTTGAAGTTAAAATTTTAAAATATCTGGCTTTTCCTAACTGACACTTAGTTTTATGTTGGATTTCTTTTTAAAGGAAAAGAAAAGGTAAATAGAACAATTTTCATCATTTTCAATGATCATTAGGTAAACGGAAAATTCTTGTCTAGACTAGCTCTATGATCTCACCTATAAACCAAACTGATCAAAGTAAGAATTTTTAAAAATTGTTCCTTCCTCTTCTAAAAAAAAAAAAAAAAAAAAAAAAAAAAAAAAAAATTGGTCCTTCCAATGATCAATTGTAAAGGGAAAATACTTGTTAAGTCCGTAGCTTCTTTTTTTTTTTTTTTTTTTTTTTTTTTTTTTTTTAATAACACAGCATTTCAGTTATAACTTAGAAAAAAGCTAACTTCAATCCAATTAATGTTTACTGATGAAATCTGCAGAGAAGCTTATTTTTTTTTTTTTTTTTTTTTTAATAACAGCATTTCAGTTATAACTAGAAAAAGCTAACTTCAATCCAATTAATGTTTACTGATGAATCTGCAGAGAAGCTTAACAGAACAATGGGAGCCGGTGGCCAAAAAACTGCTGTCCTTGTCAGCAGTAAGTTCAAGGAAATGGAAACCAACAGACGCCTGTAGCAGGTTCCACACACAAAACATCCATTCACTCTTGGCGAAATCAAACAAGCCATCCCATCCCATTGCTGTAAACGCTCCCTTCTCCGCTCTTTCTCCTACCTTGTTTATGACCTCTCTTTAAGCTCTTTCTTCTACTCCATTGCTGCTAGCTACTTCCATCTTTTTCCTTCTCCGATCTCCTACATTGCTTGGCCCATCTACTGGACTCTCCAGGGCTGCACTCTCACTGGTGTTTGGGTCATTGCTCATGAATGCGGCCACCATGCTTTTAGTGACTATCAATGGGTTGATGACACTGTTGGCCTAATTCTCCACTCTTCACTTCTTGTTCCTTATTTTTCATGGAAAATTAGCCATCGTCGCCATCACTACAACACCGGTTCCATTGAACGTGGTGAGGTGTTTGTCCCCAAATTCAAGTCTAGAATCCCTTGGTATTCCCAGAACCTCAATAACCCACTAGGTCGAGCTTAGCCCTCGCAGCCACACTCACGGTCGGCTGGCCGTTGTACTTAGCCTTCAGTGTGTCTGGACGACCTTATGATCGGTTTGCTTGTCATTTTGATCCTTATGGACCAATATATTTTGATAGAGAAAGGCTTCAGATTTACATTTCTGACATTGGGATTTTCGCTGCACCTATGTGCTCTATCAGATTGCCATGGCAAAAGGGTTAGCTTGGCTGGTATCTATTTATGGGATACCATTGCTTATTGTTAATGCTTTTCTTGTGACAATCACATATTTGCAGCACACTCACCCTGCATTGCCACACTATGACTCGTCCGAATGGGATTGGCTCCGGGGAGCTTTGTCGACAGTGGATAGAGATTATGGGGTGTTGAATAAGGTTTTCCATAATATTACAGACACTCATGTAACCCACCATCTCTTCTCTACAATGCCTCATTATCATGCAATGGAGGCCACTAAAGCAATCAAGCCTATATTGGGCGAGTATTATCAGTTTGATGGCACTCCGATTCTTATGGCGCTCTGGAGGGAGGCCAAAGAGTGCCTGTTTTTCGAGCCAGAAGAGGGAGGTCCCAACCGAGGCGTTCTCTGGTATGGAAATAAGTATTGAGAGCTATAATATATGGTTTGGCCTTCAGAGAAGTTAATTAGAATAACTATGCAGAGAGTGTGAATGTAGTATAGATGTTAGTAATGGAGAAGAAAAACTAGATGCGTAGTAGCTTTCTTTACGGGAAAGTGGTGTTTGAGTTATGTCTGTTTATGGAACTCTACTACTTGAATTAAGTCGTTTAGTTTTTTAAATCATAGTTTGATCTTTTTTTTTTTTTTTTTCAATTTCTTATATATATTGAATTAAGTCGATGTTATTGGTACAATGAAATATATAAAAAGCTACTAATAACACACACTATAAGAGTGAGAACATGAAAAACGACCTCAATTCTCATAAGAGTGAGAACATGAAAAACTTTTATATTTTATGGTCTGAGGGAATTATATACAGACACCATAGTTAATTAATTATATAATGTTATGTGCCAAGGAAAATGTTTCGATCTATAGCTCTCTTCATTCGATATTATTTCTCTCCTTTTTGTAGTTTTTCTAAAAATTTTAATATATTCAAATATCTATATCTATCTATATAATATATAAAAGCATGATAGTTTACTTTATATGGAAGATAAATATAAATAGCACAATTTGTCACTAGATAGATGGATGTTAGAATTCTAACACAATTTGTCACTTGACAGTATTTTTTGAATTATAGAATGACAGATGTTAGAATTCTAACACAATTTAGTATAATTGTAAGAATTGTAAGAATATCAGTTGTTTTATATTTTTAGATAATTCCTTATCAAGATAATATCTATAAAAAGGATTATCTCTAGCATTTAACATATTAATCTAAATTTATTACTTCTTACAAAACAATTAATAAGTAATCCACACACTTAAAAAAGTGTGAATAAACAATATATAAACAATTTAAAAAATATAAATTGAAACGTACGAGATACGAACTTTTTAAAAAAGTAAGGCATCCAGGACGCTTAGGACACACTAAATAATAATACATTAATATTTTAAATAAATAAATAATTATTTATAATAAATCATAAATATAAAATACAAAAACAATAAATTTCTCATTTCAATAACATAAAAACAAATTTAAAAGAAAAACTTAATTTTTATTGGTAATAAAAAAAAAAATCTTGATTGATTAACTTGGTGTATAGAATAGTCTTATATACCAGGAGTTAGGTTGCACGAACACAGGACACGAGATACGGGAACATACGGATACGATAATTTTTAAAAAGTAAAACATCCACACACTTAAAATATACTACACTAAATAAGTAATATACTAATATTTCAAATAAATAAACAATCATTTATAATAATTATAGGCATAAAATAAAAAAAATATATTTTCTTATTTCAATGACACAAAAACAAATTAGGCATAAATAAAAAAATATATTTTCTTATTTTCAAATGAACACAAAAACAATTAAAAAAAAACACTCATTTTTATCAATGACACAAAAACAAATTAAAAAAAAACACTTCATTTTTTATTAGTAATAAAAAAAATCATGATTGATTAGTTTGGTGTATTGAGTAGTTTCATACACCAGGAGCTAAGTTGCACGGACGGAACACAAGACACAGGAACGTATAGATACGATAATGTTTAAAAATGTAGGCATTCATACGCTTAGGACACACTACACTAAATGAGTAACACATTAATATTTCAAATAAATAAATAATCACTTATACTAAATCATAAACATAAAACAAAAAATAAAAACTTAATTTCTTATTTCAACGACACAAAAATAATTAAAAAAAAACACTTCATGTTCTATTGGTAATAAAAAAAAAAAAATCTTGGTTAGCTTGGTATATGGAATAGTATCATATACCAGAAGCTAGGTTGCATGGACACGTGACACGAGATACGGAAACTTAAGAGATACGATAATTTTTGAAAAAGTAGGACATCCACACACTTAGAACACACTACATTAAATAAGTAATATATTAACATTTCAAATAAATAAACAATGTTTATAATAAATCATGAACATAAAAAATACTTAATTTCTTATTTCAATGACACAAAAATAAATAAAAAAAAAAACACTTCATTTTTATTGGTAATAAGAAAAAATCTTTGTTGCTTTGTTGATTAGTTTGGTGTATGTAGTAGTCTCATATACTAGGAGCTGGGTTGCACGGACACGGGAATAGACGGGATACATTAATTTTGAAAAAAAGTAGAATATCCACACGCCTAGGAGACATTATACTAAATAAGTAATAAATTAATATTTCAAATAAATAAACAATCATTTATAATAAATTATAAACATAAAATAAAAAGAAAACTTAATTTCTTATTTCAATGACAAAAAAAAAAAATTTTAAAAAACACTTCATTTTTTATTGATAATAAAAAAACAAAAAACCTTGGTTGCTTAGCTTGGTGTATGGAGTAGTTTCATATACCAGGAGCTAGGTTGTACGGACACAAGACACGAGATACGGGAATATAACGGATACGATAATTTTTAAAAAAAGGTAGAACATCCGCACACTTAAGACACAACACACTAAATAGGTAATATATTAATATTTTAAATAAATAAACAATCATTTATAATAAATTACAAACATAAAATAAAAAAATTAATTTATTGTTTCAATGACACAAACAAATTAAAAAAATATTTCATTTTTATTAGTAATAAATAAAATCTTGGTTGATTAGTTTAGTATATAGAGTGGTCTCATATAACAAAAGTTAGGTTGTACGGACACGGTACACGAGATATAGAAACGTATAAGATAAGATAATTTTTAAAAAAGTAAGACATCCACACACTTAAGACACATTACACTAAATCAGTAATACATTAATATTTCAAATAAATAAAAAATCATTTATAATAAATCATAAACATAAAATAAAAATACTAAATTTCTTATTTCTACTAAATTTCTTATTTCAATATAATTAATTAAATTCTCAAAATTATTGTCACTATTGCAAAATACATTAATAGTGTGTATGCATTTTTTTAATGTAAGTCATACCATGTAAGACTTTTCCTATTGCATATCTTATGAAACGCTTCGCAGGATACTTAAGAAGGCATATTTTAGCATTGCAACTTTTCAGCATATTTCAATGAGAGATAATTTATTATTTTATTATATAGTTTTACTATTTTTGAATGATGTTATAAAAGATCATTTCATCCTTTAATACTGTTCCGCGCATTACTGGGGTTCTAACACTAAAATATATAAAAGCAGAAAAATCTATCTTAAATGTAAATCTCTCAAATTGCCAAGTGTAAGGAGAGTAGTTATTTAGTATAATTGTATGAAAATTAGTTGTAGTGACAGCAATTGTAAGAAGATAAATCGTTTTATATTTTCAGATAATGCCATATGGGAAGAAAAAAGAAAAGAAAACTAAACTGATATTAATAAGCAAAAACTATTTTATTTGGAAATAAGGAAGGAATATAAGGGAAATGAATTTCGATAATTTTCTCTTCAAATGAGAAGGAAAATAAAAAATTATAAAAATAAATTTGTAAAAGAAAAAAGAACTCATTCTTTTTAATGATTGATTTCGCTGCCTAGGCCCTCTTTACCTTCTCATTGTAATTAATTTTATTTTTCTTTTGTATCCAAAAAATAACATAAGTTTTTTCTAAAAAAAATTTAGTTCCTTCTTATTATTTTTTTAAATTTAGTTTCAGAAAATGTAAACTATTTATTTGGAAATAAGGAATTAGTAAAAGGGAAAATAATTCCGATAATTTTCTCTTCAAATTAGAAGGAAAATAAAAAAGTACAAAGATAAATTTGTAGAGAAAAATTAATTTTATTTTTCTTTTATGTCCAAAAAAAATAAGTAATATAAGTTTTTTCTGAAAAAAATTTAGTTCCTTATTTTTTTTCTTAAATTTAGTTATGAAAAATGTCAGTATTCAATGAATTGGTCAGGCCTACTTTTTTTTTTGTTCCCTTTTCATTATTTTTTAATCCAATAAACTCTCCCTCCCATTCAGAATTACGCTTGATGAAAATTGATAATTAGAAGAATTGGCTTTTAATCCCAACTCTTTACTCTATACCTTTTCCTTCCTCTATTAATTTTATTTTTCTTTTATATCCAAAAAAAAAAGTAACATAAATTTTTTCCAAAAAAATATTTAGTTCCTTCTTATTTTTTCTGATCATTCATTAATAAAAAAGACACAAAAAAAAAAACACTTCATTTTTTCTTGGTAATAAAAAAAAAAAATTCTTGGTTAGATGTAGCTTAAGTGTATGGAGTAGTTCTCATATACCAGGAGCTAAGGTCGTATGGATTACAAGGCAGAGAAATACGGGAACGTATTGATACGACAGTTTTTAAAAAAAGTAGGACATCCACAACGCTTAGAGCACACTACACCAATAAATATAATACATTAATAATTTCAATAAATAAATGAATTCGTTTATAATAAAATCATAAACATATAAAAATACCTTAATTAATCATAAACATAAAATAAAAAATACTTAATTTCTTATTTCAATATAGTTAGTTAAATTCTCAAAATTATTATCACCATTGAAAAATATATTAGTAGTTTGTCTGCATTTTGTGATGTAGGTCTATTAGGGGTGTGAAAATGAGTCATGACACGCAAATACGATTCACTTAACATGTGAAATAAATGGGTTAGGATTGATGTTAAATGGATTCGTGTCATAAATGAGTGACCCATTTGTGACACGAATATAAACGTGTCGTGTCGCTGGTTGACACGCGGGTTAGACGAGTGACCTGTTTATTTAAGAGTAAAGAGGTAATTTTAGTGTTAGATATAAATATTCCAACTAAAACCTATTTAATGTTATAAAATAATAGAAAAACAGAGAGAGAAATAAAGGGAGAATAGGGAGAGAATACGAGAGTGTGTCTATTATTGATGAAAAGTCACATATATATAGTTACATAAGTGGAATCCCTAATAAAGTCTTATACAAATCAGGAAGATAGAGTTCGTAATAATTAAGAATACAGACTTCTAGCCCATATAGGACATCCATTTATTTCATAACACTCCCCTTGGATGTCCATTCTTCAAAGAATATGTCTCGTTAAAACCTTATTAAGAATTTTTACAAAGAAAAAATCCTATGGAAAAAAAAAATCTTAGTGAAGGAAAAATAGTACATTATTCTTTTCTTAAATACGCATTGAAATACTGCCTCATTAAAAACCTTTATCAGGAAAAGCCAGTGAGAAAGAACTTTGGTTAAAGGGAAAAAGAGTACAATGCGTATTTAATCTCCCTCATGTTAGTTATAATATAACTCACATATATTTTGTCATGGAGATATCAAAATACATATTTAACTCTATTTAATTTCTTCATATTCAAGAAGAACTATATCTTGCAAATAAAATTTATAGAAATTCTTATATCTAGTCATATGACTAGCAAGATACTAGTCATATGACTAGCAAGATATATTAGCGTCTTTATTACACTAATATATGGTACTTCAAGACCAATAAGTTTTTCATAATTGTCTCAAAGTTGAAAAATAGTCATTTTCTTACCAAGCGACCTCAAAGCCATTGGGATTCACATAAAATCATTTTAACAACTTAGTCATATATGTGGATTCATAGACAAGATTTCATTTATGAAATTCTCGATCTTTAGGCTTAGACAAAACTTATATTCCCAATGTCTTTCATCTCAAACTGTTCCTTTAAGGAAACTATAATTTTTGAAAACTCTTCAGAAATTCCAATAATGTTCATGAACCAAATATTGACAAATTTATATTCAAAATCTCTTTATAAAAAAAAAATTCATGACCATATAATAATATGATTATAATATTCTTTCAACAAATATTCATTAGTCAAGAGATCCCTTACTCGTGATAGTATATAAAGTAAATATCAAAAGGAAACTCTTCCTTTAAGAAAACTATAATCAAGAGCATGTGACTTTCAACAAAAAAATATAATAAATGCAATTTAATCATAAAATAATATAATTTCTCAGCCATAAATATCATTAAGGCGATTATACCGTATGTATTGAGATATCCTTATTCCATATAGAAATCTTAAATATATTTTTCGGGGTCTTAATTTGCTTGCTACAAGCATTTTTTCAATGTTTCATGGATATCAGTATCTATTAATCCATATACAGCTCTATAATATTGTTGAATAAATTTCTTGAGAATTTATCTTTATACGTCAAGTAACTAGAATCCTTCAGGGATCTTTCATATAAATATCTACATCAAATTAATATATAAATAGGCAGCCATTAATTCATTAGACGTATTTCAAATTTTCACAAATTGCCAAACTAATCAAATATCAAATTATTATTGCATCCACCACATAATTTATAGAGATCTCATCATTTTCAATGATTTCAGGTACTTGAGTTTCTTCTAGAAACTTATTAGTCATGTCTAGGAACTTCTTCCACAATTTGCTCTTCTAGGAACTTCTTCCACAATTTGCTCTTCTAGAGTTTGACCATCTTGAATATTTGCTCCTTTTCTTTTCTAGGATTTTTATCCTTGGAACCGATTAGTCTACCATGCTTCAGGCATGCTTTAGACTCATTAGCATAGACAGTTTGTCCTTTAGAGACTTTAATTCTAATAGGAGCATTTGCAACTAGTATGTGAGATTTACTTTTCTCCCTTTTCGATCAGAAATATATCTGGCAACTAATTTGCAATATTTGCAAATAAATTATCTTTTAAACTTTTAAATTCACATTGCCTTATATGAGGATCAAGATATAATAACGATAATAACGATAATTCTTTTCCAATCAATTATTCTTCTAGCTGCTTATTTTCTCCCGTAATGTTGGGATCCATAACAATAGCAAATTTGGCATGTATAAATTTCTTATTTGAAAGTTCTAAATATTGAATAATAGATCATACCTGACATATATTTTCAACCTCCTTTTGAGGACCCATCTTAGTGCGTTGTCGTGGAGCAATTAGAACATATACCGCACATTTAAAAATTCTTCAAGGGGTAATGTTTGGTTCCTGATCCAAAAACCAATTATAAAGGGGAGAACTTATAATAACTTATAATAACTTATTGGCTTGATGCGAGTAAGTGCTATTAAATTTTAATAACATGTCCCTCTAAAAAGTAGGGAAATTTGTTCTTACAATAATTGTCTTACAATTAATTGCAATCATTTATAAATGACTCTACTAAATCATTTTTGAGCATATATAAAAGCAATAATAGGTTGTTATAAATTATTTCAATTTACACATGCCATAATCATTAAAGACTGATGTGTAAATTCACCATCATTCTCAAGATAAATTGTCTTAATAGCATAATCTGTAAATTGTATTCCTAATCAAATTATTTGCGCAAATAATCATGCAAACTCCAGGTTGCATGTTGATAATAATCTTTGCAAACTTCAGGTTGCAAATTAATAATAATCATGTAACTATCTTTTGGATGCATCCATAATATATCCAAATAATCCATAATATATCCAAATAAATTGATCAATAATTTCCCTTTATATATTCTAGAAAATACAAGCAATTCAATTTGAACTCTTGGTGATCGCTCAAATTTTAATTTTCTTTGAGAACAAACTAAGCATGAAAAATTCATTAGATTTGAAGAAACTTCTGGTTCTTCAATAAATATTCATGTAAGGATTAAATTTTCCTTTTTTTTTATCATTATTGATCGAGATGGTCCAATCGATCATGTCAAATAATAAAGTACTTAGATTTGTAAACTTCCGTGTAACAATCATATTTATTTCAATCATTATCTTTATATGATATGTATTTTGATAATGTATTATGCATAAAATTCATTCCTGTAGGTAGTAATACTTGCTCTTCTAGAGCTTTAAATACTCTTTTACTACTAAAACCAAATTTGTCTTCAAATATTTTGGTGTACAACAAGTACATCTTCAATATCCACATATGCCATATTATTTGTACCACTTCTGGTGGTAAATTTTATTTTTAATCATGTGGCCACCATAATTGCTAAGATCATTATTTCAACTATGATCTCATTAATATTCTTAGTGATAAATAAATCTTTTTATTCGTTCTGTCCACACCCAATATCATATATTATTGCAATAAATCTTTTTATTCGTTCTGTCCACACCCAATATCATATATTATTGCATTTAGTTCAGAAAATGTATCAAATCTAGTGTTTAAATGATTAAATTGGCATTTGAAAATAATTAATGGTATTTATAAATATTTATTTGAATTTATTATCAATCATTAGCTAGAATGTATTTATCAAAATGTGATTATTAATATTTGTTGGTAATTATTTTTAATTATTAGTATTTATTATTATTGGTTAATAATTAATTGTCAAACATGATTAATGGTAATTACGAGTGTTTATTGATAAGTATTATTATGTTTTGAGAAATTAATGGTTAAGATGTGATTTTATTAAATTCATTGGGCATTTTGCTAAGTGGGTCTTATTTAATCAAGTGGGCCTATTTGTTTGGGCTATTTTAATTAATTATATAGAAAAGAAAAAAAAATAAAAGAGTTAAAAAAAAAAGAAGTTTATTGCCTATTTTCTAAAAAGTGTGCGTCACATTAAGGGAAAAGGAAAAAAAAAACATTCATTTCCTATTTTTCCAAAGGTTGACGCCAACTCAAGGGAAAAAAAAAAAAAAGAAAAAAAACTAAAACCTAAGGAGGCCGAAGCCTCATAGAGCACAAAAAAAAAAAAAAAAAAAAAAAAAAAAAAAAAAAAAAAAAAAAAAAAAAAAAAAAGAAGAATAGCCATCTTTTTATTATCACACGCACAGGGGAGAAAAGGGAGTCAGATAACTTTTCATCTTTTTCTCTTGATTTCTACCATCAAATCTGCAAACAAACAACAAATTAAGTATTTGTTAGTCCAGATTAGTAAAAAAACTAGCAAATCGAGGGTGCAATAAGCTATAGCAGCAGTAGGACATTTCGCAAACAAGGTATAATTTTGGTTTCACAATCTGTAAACTCATTTTTTATTTTGATTGCATATTTAGAATTTGTGCTTTTAGGAGATTCTAAATACCTAATTGTTGCATATTTTTTGTGCATTTTCTGATTTCTTGCTGGTAGAAGGTGAGAATTTTTGAAAGTCAATTAAGGCTAAGAAAAGGTTTGGATTTCGAAATTGATTGGTTTTTCTGCAATTGGAGGTTAGTGCTCTTCCATTTTTTGTTTGATTTAATTTTTAATTGATGTTTTTTTAATTATGATCTTAAAAGTAAATTGGAGTTTTCTATAATTTTTGTATGATCCTATGAAATTGATTCCATATTATTGCAATTGGGTGTGAATTTTGTTAATTTTTGCACAATTGTTCTACTTATGAAGCTATAGTGATTTGTTGATGTGATCTTTTGTGTTTGATTATTTGGTTTGGGCAAAATGCCTTAATTTATTTGATTAACAGGATATTTCTGGATTGGTCATTTAATTTATATATAACTTTAATTATTATTTGGGCAAGATAGTCTAAAGTCATATTAGAAAATATTATTTGCTAAAGATTTTAATTGTTATTTTGAGCGTGTTAGCCTAAAGCTATATTAAAAAAATACTATTGGTTATCGTTATAATTAATATTTGAGTATGTTAGTCTGCAGTTATATCAGAAAATGAAATGGGCTATTATTTTTAATCATTATTTTAATATGTTAGCCTAAGGGCTATATTAGAAAAGGTAATTGGTGTTAACTTTAATTTTTATTTGGGCATGTTAGGCCTATGGTCATATTAATATATAAATATATAATTAATATATAAATATATATATATTTATATATATATATATATATATTATATATAATACTATATAATTGATTGAATATTAGGCATATCAGAAAATGTAGTAGTGTTGGGACAAATTATTCGGAATTAATAAGGATGTCTGTACTGGTAAGACTAACATATATATATATATATATAATAATATATATAATAAAGGAACATTGGGCATGAATAATGCTAGTTAATTGTTAATTTAATTAAATAATTTAAAAGTTAAGTTGTTAATTAAATGGTTAGCATTAATATTATAAATTAATATAATAAATTATATATTAATAAAATGTGATCATGAATTTCATATGTGAAGTTATGTTGATTTATGTTTGACTTAAATTAAATAAATTATGCTAATAGTATTAAATGCATGTAATGAATTAATAATATTATTTATTTAATTAAAATAAGTTAATGAACCTTAGTAGGCATGAATTGGGCATAAGTAAGGTTGGCTCCCAAGAGAGGCCAAACCTATGCTAGTCCCATAGGTGTTTTTTTTTTTTTTTTTTTTTTTGTTTATGAACTATTATAATTTATATATCGATGCCTAATTAAATTAAATATGCATGTATTAGATGAAATTGGAAAATATTGAGTTTGCAATTGAAGTCTTTTTTTTTTTTTTTTTGTCACTCTTTCATGTGTTATGAACTATTATAATTTATTATATGATGCCTAATTAAATAAATATGCATGTATTAGATGAAATTGAAATAATTTGAGTTTGCAATTGAGTCATGATGCCTAATTGGAATTTTTTTTTTTTTTGTCTAAATAATGCTTGAGTATGTAATTAAATGAACTAATGTGCAAGTAGATGTTAACATAAAATCATTATATGATCAAACCTAAAGAAGAAGCATGCAACCTATATTTCTAGGACAGGCATAACCATGTCCACAAGGTGTGCACTTTTGTTTGACTTTTATTTTATGATATGCATAAGTTAAATTATAGAGTTGATACTATACTTGCTTGTGTAGTATATGATGTGATTAATTGCACTCTTGGACCTTGATAATGTGATGTTGACTTGGTTGACTTATGAATCACTATGTTTGACTATGATTTAATAATACCAATTTGGTGTTATACTCTGGAAAGCTTAATGCTATGCACCAGGTACGCTTACTTACTTGACTACTTAAAGTAATATTGGAATATGTTAAGTCAAGATAGATGTGGTTTGACTTGAGATGTTTGAGTTGACTATCCTATGGATATGAGATTATTTTGTATGTATATGTATGGACATATATGATTTAGATTTATATGAGCATATATGATTGAGATTTGTATAAAGCAAATGAGCTTCTATAAATCATGAGCAAGTTGCAATCATATATGCCTACTTGTTATGACTATTGAGTGATACTTGAATGATTAAGTTATTACCTGGAAATGAAATAACGGAATTGACTTAATGAGAATTAATGGGCTCCTACTGTGAACTTGGTTGAGTAGTTGCTAGAATATGGTTATCTGTCCCTGAAAATAAAATCATGTTATGGATTTGTTTGGATTGTGTTATGATCATATGCCAGACACGTGGGTGTCTTCAGGACGAGTGGACGCACTCTACTAACTCTGTATCTGAAAAACTTTTTAAGTCTACTGTTAAAAGGCTAACTAGCCAGTATTAGTCTGGCTGTTATCAGACATCGTTCTGTTACATGTTCTACTTCTATTTCTTTTTGAGTCACTATTAAGGCCCAGTTTTCTGAATTAATGATTAAGAGAATGATAATACAAATATAAATTACTGATTACTTGAGATACAAGTTACTTACAGATTGATGGTATATGATTACTTGTGATATAAGTTACCTATAGGTTGATGATGTATGATTACTTGTAATACAAGTTACATATGGATTGATGTTATATGATCACATGCCATGCAAGTTATTTATAGGAATACTTGTAAGATTACTTGTAAAGTAAGAAACTAATGTATGTATGTAATATGTGTGCTTATGATGTAGGTTAGATTCTCAGACATTGTTATATAATCTTCTGTATTGCAAATCTTTATATCGAAGATATTGTCTGATTACTTGAGCAACAAGTTACCTTGCGTATATGATAATATGATTAAAAACGCTATTGGATATGTGATTTGATACTGATATGAGATTAATAAAGCATACACAAAGGAGGGAGGAGAAAAGAGTTACAAAACTATCTGAATAATACAATCTACCCTCATCCCTCCAAATTTTCCAAACCTAATTTAATATTATAAACAAGCAATAATAGGAATCCTTATAGACCCTTTACATTGAGTTTAACATAATGAATAAGGCATTAATCCAGACATAAAGAATAACAACCACAAAATAATAACAATCATTCCTAGAAACACAAGGCATACATTCAATCAATAATGACACAAATGATGAATGATAATGTTAGGATGTTCTATGCTAAGGTTAGAGGGTTAGATTGACGAAAGAGTAAAGAACATTAAAGTAAAGTGCATAAAAATAAAGGACTAAAACTTAAAGTGCTGGAATTTAAAGAACAATAATTAAATGACATGAATTTAAATGATTAATCAAGATTTAAGTCATGGTCTTGATGTTCAACAAGGATAATGAACAAATTCACCAATCACAACTCTCAATCTTGTTTCATTATTTATTTGCTCATCCAAATCAAAAAGGAGTTTATGTGCTCTTTGAGCATGAATGCTTAAGGCTTAACTCTATTGGATCTCGGAATCAAAGTATGATTATTGATTTTGTGTTATTGAGACTCTAAAATGAAGGTTCGTGCGCCACTTCCATAATGGCGCACGGATCTTGCCCTGATCAGAGAACTTAGAAAATTGCATTTAGAGAGATTTAGGAAGAAGTGGCGTGTGCCACAGCACTATGGCTTGCGCCACTAGTGCTGTGGCGCATGTGGCTAGGGTCATTTGTACCCAGAAAACCTCTTTCTTGGTTGATCAGAGGTTTCCCTCACAAAGTTAAGAATGGTGATTTAACACCAAAATGAAAAAGGAAAAAGTGTAGAGGAAAGTTTTAGACTCTCAGTTTACCTTGTTTTTAGGAAAAACTTGAGATTTGGATCACAAATGGAAGAAACAGCCAAGAACTTGGTTCTTTGATCAACGATCTGAGTTTCGTTTGATTGATTAGTGTTTTGGGAATGATTGATTGTCAAACCCCATTGAAGTTTTGTGTAAAAAAAGTTGTCCCTCAATACAAATCAATAACACTTGCTAAGGATTTGGATTGAGGGGTTTTGAGAATTAAAATTACAAGAGTTTGGTTAGCAACCCTAAAATCCCCCTAACCCATTCCCCATGCCTCTATTTATAGGCAAATGGGGAATGTTGCCCATTTTTAGGCCTTAGGTGGCAAGCGCCACAAGTGGGCCCCAAACAATATGTCGGGTCTGGTTTTCACGAAATCAGCCTGGATGGCATGCAAAACGAGGTTGTGCATCAGGACACGCCATGGGCGTACCCGAGGCACGTTTCCAGGCCTTGTTTCGATGCGAACCTTGAAAACGTGAAAATGGCTGATGGGTTACCTTTCATAAACTTGGATCATCGGTCTGAGAATCAAATTCATCGAATATCTCAAACTCATTTTATCATAAAAAAGGTAATCATCACTGAGTCTTTTTTTGGGCAAAAATTGAGCGTCTACAGGAGTATTATTTTTTATAGTTACTAATTCTATCCTATAGATATTCCTATAATACTACGAAAATACTCATAATGTTTATTTTATATATTTTATAAAATTAAAATGATAAACACCTACATATTCATTTTTTGTTTATATATTTTTTATTAGAACAACAAACTCATAACTACAATAGATTTTAGAAGGTTATCCTCTAATCATACACAAATAAGGAATTTCTCAACCTTTATATATAGGAATTTAACGTTCTTCACCAAAGTACACACAATTAATCCTATATTATTTTGTAATTCACTCATATTATTTATAATTTTAACATCAGAGAGTTTGTAGGTACCTTTTCCCACACTCAGAATGATTTATAAGTTAGCATATCGATATACTAGTCAACGTAATTTCTAGCTTATAACTATCCTATATATTGATCCAATATCAATTTATACCTCATTAGGTAATTGATCTACATCTCATAATTTATAAATTTTTGAGTAAATGCATATGAAATGTGAAATACATCATATATGGAAATATATGATGTATACTACTCGTATAACAAGTTAATATTTGCGGTATAATCGAAATATAACTGAATACAGCACTGTTGGAACTTGAATATAGGGGGAACAAGAGGGAATGAGTGACTCCTTGACATGGATCCTTAAGGAATGGATAGAGAATCTGAGCTGTGCTATTAGGACCACTATTTAAAGTAAATGGAAAAGAAAAGCCCAAAGGATTAGAGCAACGAATCATGTGTCATTTCAAATAGCTAGTGCATCTTTTTAGCGGCCTAAGGTCGGCTCATAATGCACATAGGTGTTCAAACTGAGTAAAACCTATGTGCAGAGAAGATTGTTGATGCGGCCCCAAAACAGAGGTCTGAAGTGGCAAGAGCTTGTAAATAAATATATTGTTGAAATAATGCCACAAGGCCACTTAGGCCTAAAACCTATAGAATGTAAATATTGTATATGTACAGTACCTTTTTGGATTTTTATATTATTTTTCTAGAAGGCGAACCTTACTTGGGGGCACTCTTAGGACACTTATAAATAGAGAAGACTATCATTGTAAAACACACGCCAATCAATATAACAAACCTATTTGCCTCGTGCATTCAAGTCACCTTGTATCTTTTTTTCTTTTTCAACCCCCTAATTTCTTATATTTCTCTCATGTTCCTCTCATCTTTACTTTTTTCCCTCCTAAGCTCTTTATATTCTCATCCCCTTTTTTAGATCAACAGGTCCGACCCATTTGTCCACCTATCCCAAGACACTCCTAATAGATGCAGGCCCGACAGACACATCCAATTTTGGACTGAAAAGTTTTTATATTAGTGAGTCCATAAATTAAGCCAATTATTAATTAATTAATTAATTAGGAAAATTTTAGTATGTATATATATAAGTAAATTGATTACATCAACATGTCATTGTTAGTGTAATTGTTACCATATTATGAGATCTGTAATGTTGTGGATGCACGTTTAGAGTAAGTTCAGATTTATGTAGATGATTTATTTGACAAAATGAAATATTTTAAGATTTTAGAAATATGTTTTGCGTGATGAATATTATTATTTATATACTACTTATGCGAGCTGAGAAATTATAAAGGTTTATGATCCCTTAATTACTTATATGTTCATTTAGTTTTTAGTAAGAGTAATATTTATACTACTTAAGGAACATGGAGACTAAGAGCTGTTGGAGTTGTAATTACTAAGGAAGATACTTAACGCTGCTTTTCAATCATGAATACTGAGTATTGTGCATATAGTAGTAAAAAAATTGTAATGTACAGATATGTATATAAGTGGTGATGCAAAATGCCAGTATATTTTTAGATGTAATTATTAATTTTGTATTACGTATGTTGACACTGACCCATTAGTATAGTCCAAGTACGCGAGTCCAGGTTAATAACATAGAGAAGAAAAAAAGAAGACATTTCTTAGGAGGGACACTTGGACCTTGGACACAATTATATAAATATTGTACAAATATAGGATATTTTAGACTTTGCATATGCTTGCAATATTATACACTCTAGAATATTTCTTGCTTGGTGTGCACTCTTAGAATTCCTATAAATAGGGAGTGACTCCACTATAAATGACACGCGAATCGATATAAATAAATTTTTTTTGCATCATGCGTTATATCACCTTGTATCCCCATTACTTTTCCAACCTTCTAATTTTTTATATTTCTCTCTTGTCTATCTCGTCTTTTCTTTTCCTCCTCTTGAATTCTCCTTCTTCTCATCCCCTTCTTTCGAACGAAACATGCCTCAACCTATTTGTCCACTTGTCCCAGGACATTCCTAATAGATGCAAGCCTGACAAGCCTACAACTAATTTTAGACTCAACATAATGTAAATTAAATGAGCCCTGATAAATCCCTAACTTTGATTATACATTTTAGAGACTAGAGTAGTCTCTGTACTACTTAGTTCAAATGAAGGCTAAGATGCTCAAAGATGTTTTCTAGTCACAACCATGAGTATTCTACATGCAGTAACAAAAAAAAAGTCATTATTAACTATATATATAGTGTTAATTTGACTCATCGTATCTTAATTATAGACGCTATCACATTGGCATTCCTAAAATTCAGTTTGTTACGCAAAAAGTAGAAAAACTTCAATTAGTGTTACACAAAAGAGAATCTATTAAAATTTTCGTTAAAGAGTAGATGGAAAGATGACGTATACATCATTGAAGCATTTAAAATGAAAAAACTTGTCATCTCAACCTTAATTAATCAATAATTAGCTTTGACTTTCTCTTTCCTCGTTGATTTTTCTCTTTTGTCATATGACAGGCACCTTCGTGATACGGATCAAGGAAGCAAGGCGAAGGATCCGTTAGCTCTACCTATTGGGCCAATCATAAGAGCTCGTGCAACTAAGCAACAAGCAGCCTTGAATGCATTTGTTCAAGAACAAGTCACATTGGAGCTTCAAGATCATAACATTGCGAGATGTGGGATTGAACTTGAAGAAGCACCTAAGTTTGTTGTGGTGCTTGAGGTGTGTAAAGAGGCTACCCATTGATGCATTGTACATGTTTTATACTTAGGCAAATTTTGAAGAATGCTCTTTCATTGTAAGCTTAAGTATGGGGCGTGTAAGGCCTGTGAGCCCACTTATCCTATTTTGTTTAGTTTGTTTTTATAATGGGCCTGGTTATTTAAAGTAAGGTTGGTTGAACTTATTTTCCAAAGTTGGGCCGGCCCTAGATTAATTAATATTTAAGTTAGGTTGTTTTAATTAGTTAGCTTGGGCTTTGTATTTAAATTAAGCCCATATGGGCCATATTGGGTTAGGCCTAGGTTAGTTTAATTAAAGGCTAATTAGGTTTAGGATTAATTAAATATTTAAGTAGGTTGGTTTTAAATTGGAGTTAGCTTGGGCTTTGTAAGTTTTAAAATTCAAAGCCCATTTATGGGGCCATATTGGGTTAGGGGCCTAGCGTTAAGTTAATTAGTTAGCTTGGGCTTTGTATTTAAATTAAGCCCATATGGGCCATATTGGGTTAGGCCTAGGTTAGTTTAATTAAAGGCTAATTAGGTTTAGCTTTGAGGGTATTTATTTTGGTTTTTGTAAAAGCTGCACGGCAGCCAAGACTTAATTAATCAAAAATAAGATTTGTTCTTTCTTTGAAAAGAAACTGTGTTCTTCATCATTGGATGAATGCAACCGAATTTACATTAGTAATTAACATTGTGAGTTCTACAAGATTAATTACAAGAAGAATCTCAGAATTGTTTTCAAGAGTACTTGAAGGTAAGTTTTCGTTTTCTTGCTTAAATTCCTTTCTTTCTTTCTTTAAGAGTACTTGGGGTTTAGGGATTGACGGGTACTTCCGTGATTGCATGTTCTTTGCTAGATTCTTCTTGTTGATTTGCAAGAGTACTTGTTAATTGTTTAGGGTCGTATTACTTTGCTACTTTTACTAACTTCTCCACCGCATAGAAATGGCTGATCAAAGAATCTTTAGCAACATTTTCCATCTTTTGACATAGCTTTGAAGGTACTCAATGATTAATCACTTGAAAGAATCCAAATTTCTTGCAGGCTTCTCTAACCTTTGAAATTAGCTCTTGAATTTCTTTAAAGTCTGAAACAGAGAGATCTATAGCTAGGATTTCTTCAATCTCTATGCTTTTAAATTTAGCCTTTCTTTAAGATCTTGAACAAAAGCTAGATTAATTTCTTCTACAACTCTTGGTGCGCACGTGAAACACAGGGTTTCTGGCAATGTGTAAAAGCCACTTGGTTATCAAAATGAAATGTAATAAGAAGTGATGTAGGTACCTGAAAGTCTTGTAAAATAAAAGAGATCCATTGTAACCCACAGAGTGTTACTTCCACACTCCTATACTCTACTTCAACTGAAGACCTACTGACTATAGGTTGTTCTTTGACTTCCAAGATACCAATGAATTCCCTAAGAAAATGCAGTAGCCAGATCTAGATTTTCTAGTAGTAGCACAGGCAGCCGAATCAGCATCACAGTAAGCAGTTAACGAGAAATCATTATGAGAGGGAAAAAAATAATCCTTTAGATGGACATGCCTTTAAGTACTTTAACACATGCATAACTGCTTTAAGGTGATATTCACAGGGTTCCTGCATGAATTGACTCTACTGTTGCACTGAGAATGTAATGTCAGGCTAAGGTATAAAAGCTTACCCACTAATCTTCTATACTAGTCAGGATTTGATGATAATGGGCCCATATTTGGTGTAAGTTTAGTTCCCTAAATAAGGGGTGTAAGAGTAGGGGTGACAGAAGCTAATCCAACATCAGAAATGAGGTCCTTCACAAATTTGGTTTGAGTTAAAATCATGCCATCATCAGACCTAACAATCTCTATTCCTTAAAAAAAAAAAAAGGCAAACCCCAAACCTTTAATGGTAAACTCTTTTTAAAGGAAAGATTTGACTTGTAAAATCAATGATTTTGTGACTCCTATTAACAAGACATCATCTACATAAACCAAGAGGGCAAGAAACTCATATCCTGAAACTTTGGTGAAGAGGCAGTGATCATGAGATGATTGTACAAAACCATAATGTTTGAGTTTGGTAGTAAACTCCTTACTCCATTGTCTTCCTGCTTGTTTTAACCTATATAAGCTTGTTTGAATACAAACATGCCCTTTAAGGGATTTTGTATAACCCTCCAGGGGTAATATATAGATTTCCTCATCAAGATGACCATAAAGGTAAGCATTATTAATATCTAATTGATGGAATGACCAGTCTTTTGAAGTGGCAAAGGCAAGAAATAGCCTTATTATTGCTAGCTTGGCGACAGGAGAAAAGGTTTCAGTGTAGTCTAACCCCAAGCAATTGATTACTTTGCCACAAGCCTAGCCTTATACCTATCCACCTCCCCATTGCGCAAATATTTGACTCTCTATACCCATTTACACCTAATTGGTCTTTTACCTAAGCGTAAATCTGTCAATGTCTAAGTCTGATTTGCCTCTAATGCTTATAGTTCATTTTGCATAACATTTATCCAATTAATCATTCTTAGCATGATAATAAGATGTAGGCTCATGAATTTTTGACACATTTGCATGAAAGGATAGGAAGGTATTATAAAAAATGATGTTAGTGGTAGGTAGAGAGAAATGAGAAGTACCTGAATGAATTGCAGCAATAGAAGAAATATTGCCATTGTCATGTACATTTGTTACAAAATCTCTCATCTAGGCAGGTTTACTTATGTGCCTTGTACTTTTGCTAAGTGGGACAGCTGAAGTTGTTTGAGTTGGATTTGTGTGTCATAAAGGTGCATTGTGTTCTAAGGATGTTGTTGTGGTGAACTTGTTGTCTTGTAATTCAGGTATGAAGGTCTGTGATATTTGAGTAGGATTTTCAAGATTGGAAATTTGGTTGTTTATCAAATAGGACCTTATAAGGTGATTTCCAAGCTAAAATTTCTATTGGTATTCTATTTACTATATGAGTAGTTACTAATAATGATTCAGACAAAAATTTTTTAAGTAGATTGGCTTGGAACATAGAGGATCTAGCTATTAGAAGCAAGGACTTATGATTTCTTTCTACTACCCCATTTTGTTGGGGTGTGGAAGGATATGATCTTTGGTGTATAATCCCCTTTTCATTGAACAAATTTGTGCACTCTCTATTCACAAATTCTATCCTATTATTACTCCTAATTTTCACAATTTTCTTTTGAAATTGATTTTCTATTAATTGAATAAAATGAGTAATGACACTAAAAACTTGTAACTTAGCAATTATCATATAGGTCCATGTGTACCTGCTAAAATCCTCAAACAATTGTCACCATGTACATAGCTCATATTATGGAAGTTACTCTATAGGGTCCCCACAGACTCTATGTACTAGCTCAAATAATTCACTTGTTGTGGTCTTGCTAATAGGAAAAACCAATCTTTGTTGCTTTGATAAAGGACATATAGGACATATGTTTCTATTTACATTCACATCAGGTATATCATGTATTTGTTTCAAGCATTTATTTGAAACATGTCTTAACCTAGCATGCCACAAGAAAGAAAGGTGTGTAGAGTGTTCCTTACAAGCTGTGAAAGCATTACAAGGTTTATTTGCTGTGAAAGAATTACTGTTTAAGTGGTACAACCCATCTTGCACATTTCCAATGGCAATATTTTCTTTACTCTGTAATCTTGCAAAATACAATGGTCTGCAAATGAATTGATAGAAATCTAGTTTGTTTTGGTTAAGGCATTTTCTGAAATCAAATTGCATTTAAAACTTGGTATATAAAGGACATTGTATAAGGTAATCCTCTAGTTCAATTTAATTTTCCCTATGTGAGTTACTAATTTATAGGAGCCATCTAATAAATGTACTAGTTTAGGTTTAGGTAGCTTGGTTATTGAGTCAAACAGTTTTATTATGATCAGTAGCCCCTGTGTCCAATCACAAACAGTTTTATTATGCATGTAAAAGTGATGAGAATTGAACAAGTTACCTGCAAAGCTAATTGCATTTGCATTTACATTAGCTGCATCAACAGAGTTTGTGCACTGAACTGATTTCCCTTTGATTGCTCTTTGTATTTCTTGCCAAATGAATTGTGATATCCCTTCATTCCAGCCTCCAGAGTAATCAGGTGTCATACTATACTTTGTATCCATAGGTGTATCTCCAATTTGCATTGCCACATTAGCCTGAGACTTTTCCTTCTTCTGCTTTAGTCCTTAGTACCATTCAGTGTAACCATGGAGCTTGAAACATGTGTCCTTAGTATGCCCTCCTGCCTTGCAGTGTTCACAGTGTCTATCTTCTTTTCTTGCAAATTCTTTCTTTTTTAACATAAGCTTCCCATCCTTATAACCATTGTTCCTCCTATATCCAGCACCTCCTTGTGCCAACATTACATTAGTGGTTTCACTTGACTCAATCAAAGGGTGATGGACCTCCCTCTGCTTCTCAACCCTCAAAATCATGGAGTAGGCTTTATTTACATTAAGAAAAGGATCCATCAGCAATATATGTTTTTTAACATGGTCATAACTCTCACTATGCCCCATAAGAAACTGAATTAACGTGTCTTCGTTATCAAGATCAGCTATGATCTTAGCTGCACCACAACTACAAGAAGGAAGTTGCCTTAAGCATGACAACTCGTCCCGCAACTTATTAAGCTTTGTAAAATACATGACTACACTCATATTTCCGTGGCTGAAATCACTTATATCCCTCTTATTTTGATATAGCAAAGGCCTGTTACTCTCCCCAAAGCTAGGGCCTAGCTCATCCAGAAGATCCTTAGCACTAGTTGCATACAAGAAAGCCTCTACTAAATCCTTCGAAATTGAATTAAGAATCCAAGCAACCACCATACTATGAGCGCCCATCCATTTATCAAACAATGGAGAATTACTATCAGGCATTTCACATTTTCCGTTAATGAATCCCAATTTATCTTATGCCTTGAGAGAAATTATCATGACCTACTCCAAAATAAGTAGTTCTATCCAAAGAGAGGTATACTTACTAAATTGAGACCAAGATTATCTGAGTTTAACAAATTGAATGAGCTGCCACTTGCCTCCGCTCTAGAAATCCCTTCGACCGCTAATTCTTCTTCTGTCGTCATTCGATTAAACTCTATTGAGAAGTTAGGGTTTTCCACAATAATCAAATATGAAGGAAGTGTATCTTTGATGAAACAAGAACAAGAAACGAAACGTAATCAGAGTTGTAGTAGGCTCTGATACCATGAACAAATTTATATGAAAATTAAGATCAAAATATGAGAGAAAATCTTTGAGAAAATATTATTTATAAGTTTTTTGATATACAACGTGCTGATCTTAGAGAGT